CTGTGTCTCATTTTCACTTTGCTTTGGTGATTTCTGAGAGGAGGAAATACCATCTTCATCAACCTCAAACTGCACAACCTCTGTCCTTTTTAAAGCCAAGAATGCAAGTTTGATTTAACATTGAAAAAAAGAAATTAATATAATTCGACATATTATCAAACTAAAAAGTTTTAAAAGCATATGAGTATTTCAATTGATGCAGAAAAGGCATTTGACAGAATCAAATGTCCATTCTTGCTTTTTAAAAAAACCTCTTATGAAGCTCCAATGGCCTTAATGGATAGGGCACTAGCGTCCTAAGTCAGGGACTGTGGGTTTGAGACCCATCTGGGGTGAAGTCATTTTTTAAAAAAAAAAAAACAACTCTCAGCAAACTAGGAATAAAAGGAAACTTTCTCAACATTATAGTAGGCACCTATGAAAAAACCTACAGCTAATCTCATACTTAATGGTGAAAAAACTGAATAATCCCCCCCAAAATCCGGAAAAAGACAATTATGCTTGTTCTCACCATTTCTATTCAACACTGTACTGGATGTCCTAGCTATTGTAATAGGGCAAGGAGTATAAATAAAAAGCAAACAGATTGGAAAGCAAGAAGTAAAGCTGTCTTTATTTGCAGCCAACAGAAGGTCGGTATACAAAAATCAATTGTATTTCTCTGTACTAGCAATGAATGATCAGAAACAGAAAATTTTACATAATATACAATAAAAATATGAGCACTTAAGGATAAATCTGACAAAAGATATGAACGATCTGTAAACAGAAAGCTACAAAATATTGCTGAGAGAAATTAAAGACCTAAACAAATGGACAGATGTATCTTGCTCATGGGTTGGATCACACAATAGTGTTATGATGTCAATTTTCCCCACCAATACAATAAAATCAAATTCCCAGAATTTTTGCAGAAATTAACAAGCTAATTTTAAAATTCATATAGGAATTTAAAGGGCCTAGAATAGCCAAAATAACTTTGATAAAGAACAAAGTTGGAAGACTAACACTACCTGATTTCAAGTCTCATCATAAAGTTATAGTAATCAAAAGGGTATGGTATTGGCATAAAGATAAACAAATAGTCCTGGCTGGTGTGTCTCAGTGGACTGACCACCAGCCTGTGAACTGAGAGGCCACCGGTTTGATTCCCAATCAGGGCACAGGCCTGGGTTGTGGGCCAGGTCCCTAGATGCGGGCATGTGAGAGGCAACTGATCAATGTATCTCTCACATACTGCTGTTTCTCTCCCTCTCTTTCTCCCTCCCTGACCTTCTTTCTAGAAGTACATAAATAACATCTTTTAAAGAAAGACAAATAGATCAATGAAACAGAGATGAGAGTTCAGTAATAGATCAATATGTGTAGGTACAACTGAATTTTTGAGAAAGGTGCAAAGGGAATTAATTTAGTGGGGAGAGAATAGACTTCAACTAATAGTGCTGAAACCATTGGATATTCATATGCAAAAAAGAATTTCAATTCATATCTTGTACCACATACAAAAATTAATTCATAATAGATCATAGACCTAAATATACAACCTAAAACTATAAACCTTCTAGAAGAAAACACAGAGAAAAACAGATGTGACCTTGGGTTAAGCAAAGATTTCTTAGATAATACAACAAAAGCATAATCCTTAAGAGAGAATTTTATTTTTATTTCTTGTTGTGCAAGTACAGTTGTCTCCATTTTCCCCCCCATAAGAGAAAAAAATTTTAAATGGCCCTTGATCAAATTTAAAATGTTCTGTTCTCCAAAAGACACTATCATGAAAAAGGCAAGCCTCTGAAAGAAAGCATTTGCAAACCACACATCTGATAAAGGATTTTATCAGATCCACAATAAAAAACACTCAAAGCCCAATAGTAAGTTGTAAAAAGGGGTGAGGGAATAGGAAGAACACAATTGGAACAGAAACTTTACCAAAGAAGATGTAGAGATCACAAACAGGCACAGGGAACGATGTCCAACATCAGAAATCATTATGGAAATGTAATTAAAATCATACTACCTATTAGAATGGCCAATATTAAGACTGACCAATACCAAGTGTTGGCAAGAATGCGGAGGAATTGCGACCCTCTTATACTGCTAGTGGGAATGTTAAATGGGAAACTACTTTGGAAAATTGTTTAGTAGTTTCTTAAAAAGTTAAACGTACATCTACTACACAATCCAGCCATTTCATTCCTAGGTGTTTACCCAAAAGAAATGAAAACATACGTCCATACACAAATTTGTACATAAATGTTGATAGAAGCTTTATTTGTAATAGTCAAAAACTGAAGTAACTCAAATCTCCATCAACAGGTGGAATACTACCCACCTATAAAACAGAGTGAACTACCTTGTGCATACAACATGAATGTTGTTCCATCTATCTTATTAGACTGAGCAAAAGAAGCCAGATGAAAAAGAGTACCTAATGAATAATCCCACTTATGTAATATTCTAGGAAATGCAAATTGATCTATAGTAACAGAAAGCAGATCAGTATCAATAGTTGCTTGGGATGGGAGTAGGGAGATGTGAGGAGGTTGTGGGGAGGGGAGGCAGGAAGGATTGTAGAGAGGGAGGATATATTTCACTGATTATGATGATGGTTTCACAGATGAATACATGTCAAAATATATCAAATTGTACATTTGAGCCCTGGCTGGTGTGGCTCAGTGGATTGAGCACTGCATGCCTGGGTTGCAGGCCAGGTCCCCAGTTGGGGGCATTCAAGAGGCAACCAATCAATGTTTCTCTCCCTCTTTTTCTCCCTTCCTTCCCCTCTCTAAAAATAAATAAATCTTTTAAAAAAGTGTACATTTGAAATGTGTGCTTTATCTTCAGTTACACTTCAATAAAGCAGGTTTTTAAAAAAAGTATAGGTCCATTGCCTTGCAATCAGTAAATTTATTTTTATTATCTTTGACCAACATATATGGTATGCACTTAAACACCAAGATGAACTCAACACATGATCTATGCAAGGAACTGGATACTGTAACAGAAGGCAAGTCATCTGCTTTTATTGGGAAACTTCCAGTTAGGTTAAACTGTTTTGAAAAAAAATTCCACTGACTTTCTCTCCTTAAAATACTTTCCACCTTCTACTCCCTCCTACCCTGGAAGATAAAGGCTGGTGTCACATCTGAAGTGCTCCTGTGTCTTTTTCTCCTTTCAGGAATATCCTGGTATGGCAAAGGAAAGGGTACTGGAGCCATTCTTTAAAAACCAAGATTCCATGAACAAGAGGAAGACTATTTAAGCTTGTCTTATTAAATGATTTGACAATGGTCAACCATGAATGGTTTCTGAAACAATGAAGTTTGAGTCCTATCACACTTAACCAGCAAATAGTGTGCCTACATCCAGGAAGAACATATGATTTTCATCGTTTTTACATCTCAAAACAAAGGCTGGAAAATAATTTAATTGCATGTAATGATTTGTACATGGCTGTTTTTTAAGTTTCTTGTTTTTGAATCATAACTGAATAAAATCTATAATACAGAAGTGTCTTTTATATAGGCTTATATGACAAGAAACTGAAAATAATTTATCACCATTCTACTCTTATGGACTTCAAATCTGTATTGGGGCACTAAAGAAAAGGTTTTGAAACCTCATTGTGGGCAATGAGAGTCACACAGCAAGATGGGGTGGAAGTCCGAAGTGCAGAGGTAGAATGATAGCAGTATGGAGCACACTGCATAGTCTCAAGGTGCTTACGGAGCAAGTTCCAGAACTGGCACGGGGTTTGAAGGGAGTGGGAAAGCCTAGAAAAGGCTCAGTAGGGAGGGTGACAGGGAATTCTTGGAGAACAGGATGAAAAGCAACGAGAGGGGTCCCATGAGGCTAAGTAACTCATATAACTGTCTTTTGTAAATCAGCCCAGGTGTAGTTTTTCTCCCATGACACTGAGAAACTCCAGAATCAGAGGTGCAAAATGTCCAGACAAAGAACAGGTTTTGAGGAAAGACAGGAGTGAATAAGGGATTGGGCAAACTAGATGCCACTGAAGAGGGCTGCTCCAAGGATGGATTTTATTAACAAAAATAATTTTTTGCAAAAAAATTATTTGAAATCTTATTTCCCAAAGGCTTCCTTTCATTTTTGTATGTTCCATTACACTTTTATCTATACCAAAGAAAACCATGCTTGTTTCAGGCACTGTGCTGGTGTCTTTGCACACTCTCATTTGATCTTCAACTGCCTTGTTAAGGTTGTTCTCTAGACCTTATTAAGTCATGTACTAGTCAGTCTCTGCAGCACTAGTGTGTGCTAATCTAGCAGCTTCATTTGCACTTAAATTGCTAGCAAGGATCAACACTTTTGCAATCTATTTCTATTTCCATGTGCGTTTGATGTTATAACCTTTGCCAAGGTAAAATTTCAATGACAAGTATGGAAAGTCAATGCAAGAACTCTGCATCCTCTCTTCCATCGAATTCTAATTGAAGATTATTAGTAGATCTCCATGTTGCCTTATCTTCTGGCCCCACACCACTTACCAGCCTGCCATGCTCCATCCACCGCCCTACGCCACCATTTAGCCCACGTGCTGCCCTGATACTTAGTCAAAACCAAGGGTGAAGCCTCTCATCAAAGCTGAGACCCTGTACTCTCTTTTTTCCTAATGGAGTTTGGCACAATCTCCTTACCCCTGACCCTGGAATTCTCCCTTTGTTCTTCTACTGTGCCACCCCCCACCAAAGAAGTTGGTCTATGTTCATTTTGTTCTCAATGCACATTCTGTTTATTAAATAATGGGTTTCTAACCAGTCTCCCACTTGGGTCTGGGGGCTTCTTGATTAGTTCTAACCACTTACTGAGTGCCCACCATATGCCAAGAACTGTGCAAGGCAAGTTATACGTCTATCTCCAGGAAGAGATGATTGTTGAATGTACATGTGAATACGTGAGACTGGTATAGGTGAAAACTAGCAGATCCAAAAATTCTATGTAAAATGTTAACAATTTCAACTCAGTCTTTGCTATTTCCCAATCCCAGGGAGATGCTGACAAGAGGCAACCCCTCCAGTATCTTTATTAAGCGCATTTTTGTTCTGGTGAGAATTAGTATGTGAAGCAGCAGGAAGGACATATACAATGGTTTCTAAATAGTGTGAGGTGAAAGGTCCAAAGCTCGAGAAAGCCCAGAGGCAGCCTCTCCAAATCTTAAGCTCATGGTTTGGGAGACCCGCTCCTTCACACAGGAAGATGCCACTCTTTCCTTCCTTGCCTATGTTGGTGACAGCAACAGAAAAGAACACTGCCAAGCACAGCAAACACCCTGGCCCAGCACCTGGGGTGGCAAGCAGGCCCTGCAGGGCCATTGGCACATCCAGCCCCAGCCCAAGACCCAGTCTAACCAGGCCATGTCCCCGAATGGGCAGGAGGCTGTTGGTCCAGTTTGTATGTGTGGGTCAGTCTGTCTGTGTGTCTGAGCCGCTGCCTGCAGGGTTCCCCCATCCTTGGCACATGGTAGGGGCTGTTGGGAACACAGCGTGGCATCCCGCGGTGGACCACCGGGCTCCGATGCTGACCACGGAGGACAGGGCCAGGGACTGGAGGTGGCAGGGGGCCAGGCACAAAGTTCACTACAGGGCCACATCCTACAAAAGAACCAGTCATTTATCAGGGTGGGCTTCCAGCCAGGGTCAGCCCAGCTCTGCCTTTAGGCCACTCTAGTCCTCCAGGGTGAGTTTCTCTGAGCTTCAGTTTCCCATCTGCAAAACAGCAATACTACTTCCCTACCTGTGGCAACTGTGACAATGAGCTGACTAATGAGTCTACAGATGCTGTTTCAGAGTCAGCTTGTGACTGGACCCAGTCCTGGGTGGGGGGCACAAGGGTGCTCCAACTGTTCTCAGCCTGCCTGGGCGCAGGGGGATGGGCTGGGGGAGGTTCAGGGGGAAGCTGGGAAGGGTGTAACATGCGGCTGCAAAAGCACCTACCTAAGTGGGACGGCATTGAGAAGTCTTCTGTTGTGTTACAGTTGAAGAATTCATGGGGTGGGAAGGGCTGGCACGGGGAAAAGGGGGCATCCTGGGGCAGGGATGGAAACAGGGGAGGCAGGGAGGGCTGAGGAAGGGGATAGAGAAAAGGCATGGGAGGGGGCAAGGGAGGGGGCGGGGGTGGGGGCAAGGCCAGCTGCTCCCTGAAGTCTGGGGGCTGCCCCTGGATCCCCTGGAACAGATGATCCGGCTCTGGCCAATCCTCAGTCCACGGGTCTAGGAATGGGATGATTGTTTTAGGCAGGCCAGGCTGCCCTGAACTCTGACCCTCCACACTCCTAAACCTCTACTCTCTGGTCCAGACGGGAGCACTTTTCGGCTTCTACCGCGTGTTCCTCATTCCCTCTCATTTCAGGCCAAGCCCAAGGTGGGTTCCTTCTCCTTGCCTTTCTCAAAAGTCAGTGGACCTACCTTTGTTCTGACTTTATGCTTCCCTCCAGAGCCTTCTCCCTTTGTTTGTCCAGCTCCTGTATCTTTAGTTTTTCCCTCTCTAAGCAACTCGACACAGACCAATTAATAAGTTTACTAAGACTTCTCTCTTACAGATATAAAAGCCTTGACCCTCTCTTCTCCTAGGAGTTTCCTGCTCCTTTCAAACTTCCACAAAGAGTATTGTGCCCAATTTCCGTTCCCTCATCACCTGTTCACTGCCTCTTGTAAGCCTCCTCCAACCCTTCCACACTTTTCCCACTAAATGTAGCCATTCCCTGGCAAATTTAACAAATCCCTTTCTTGCTGACAGTCAGATGACGTGGCCAGTATCCTCGTTCTCCCTGAAAGTGTCTCAACCGTCATTTCTTTTTGTATTCTCCATGGGCCCCTCTCCCCTTCCAGCTCCAAAACATGGCCACTGTTCTGCCGTCTCCTTCATGGTTCACATTCGGACCCTCAGCTTTCATCTCTCTGCACATACTAGTGACTCCAAATCTACTCCACAATTTCATGGTACCTCAAACAGAACTGCCCTGACCAAACTCACCAACTCAGCCTCCCACTCAACTATGCCTTTGACATTCCTATTTCTGCAGCTCCACACTGGATTCAGAAGACCTGAGGCACTACAGTCTAGCCTTACAAATTTAGAGCATCCCTCCTTTGCTGGGGATCAGTTCTCTCATCTAAAGGAAACAAGGAAATGGAACCACTATATAACCAAAGTCTGAATTTACCTCCCTGATGCTCCAGCTTCTGGCTACCAAGTCCCAGAAGTCCGCCTCTTTGACATTCCTGACCTGTCTGTGCTACCATGCCCTCCGGTGCTGCAATGAACAGCCTTCTAACATGACTCATGTCTCCAATTCACCAAACACGACGCTGCGGATACCATGTACACAGCGACTGTGCTAGACACTGGTGCCAAAGGGGGTGAGCTGTCAACAAGGGAGGTAGGAACTTTTCCTTTTGAGGACATGATCCAAAGGAGGAGCAGACAGGGACACAATCAGCCATGAGTCCCACGCTGTGAGCAGACAGGAACTGAGAGGCTGACAGCACCAGCCGAGGGGCTTCTTTGCTTCTGCCACACTGCCTAGATAACTCTTCCTCCCTTTCTGCCTTTCCGCCCTCCCACTTCCATGCCTAGCTAAAAGCACACCCATTTCTGTCTTGTTCATCTGTAGGGCAGGAATCTTTTGACATGCTCACTTATGCACGGAAGGCATGTGGAACCTCATCTGCGTACACAGAGGTCACCATATGGCAAAAGCACACAGAACCAGAACCTGGACTGCAGTGTTGCTCCTGTGACCTCACCCTCCCCAGGGAGAAGCACTCAGCATCCACAGGAGCCCTTCAAGGAGCCTCTACTCCCCTGAAGTACTTCTGTCCTGTTCTGTTCATGAACCCTGTGCTCTGAAGGCCCTCTCTGCATCACTCCCCTCCCCACTCAAGATAGGGCTCACTGGGGGCGTAGTTACGTTTGGGCAGCTCCACGCCCCAGGCATCAGCCACATGGGTCAAAAGCAAGTGTGAGAGGTGGCGGTGGGCATGCTGGTCCCAGTGGACACCGTCCCGGTGACGGTGCCTTACTGCATGCCGGAAGTGAAAGTGGAGGTCCAGGACATCAAAGCAGTGATCCCCAGCCAGTGTAGCGCTGTAGAAGTTCCCTTCAACCACATCCCGTCGCAGAGAGCCCGCCAGTGACTGGAGCTGAGAGAAAGCGGAGCATCTAAGAGCCACAGAATGAAGCGGGGTGGGGAAGAAGGGTCCTCTATTTACCAATCAACTGTCCCCTCCCCCATCCTGATATGCTTGGTCACTTGCCTCGGGCAGAAGGAAACCCCCAGTGACACGCTCCCCCAAGGGCATTGCCATGTTCCACACCAGCAGGCAGGAATCTGGCAACACCTGGTCCATGCGCACAAACACTCGCTCCAGGTTCTTTCGGTAGCTCTCCATTGAGCAGCGGCCATACCTATTGGGCAACAAATAAGGTGGGCAAGAGCACAGAGATAGATGGCTTCTGAACCATACCTCTACCCCCAACCGGTATTTCCCTCTCCCCTCGCCTCAACCTGGAGAGATCCCAGAGGCAGGAGTTGATGATCACCAGGTCCGGGGTAGGCCCATACGTCAGCTCCTCCAGGACGCCCTCGAGGTACTCGGAGTAAACTCGAGTGAGGAAGTAGAAGCGCACAAGGTGGTGGCCGGAACCCGAGCAGAACTGGCGGACCTCCCGGTACTGTGTCCCGTTGTGCAGCTCCCCCAGCTGACCCCCAGCCACAAGCTGGTCCTGTTCAAAGCTCAGCTCCCCCTGCCCACCCCCCACCCAGATGGTCAGACCGATGCCAGGGAGGAGGACCCCGCCAGGCCAGGGTCTGTGCCCACCCACCACTGGCATGGCTACCAAGCTTCCCTCACCTTGGCTTTCAGCTGGGCAGCTGTGAGCAGCGAGTCTTTCTGGAGCAGGAGCACCAGGTCCTTGTACACCGCTCGCTGGACTGCAGGGAGACAGAGTGCAGGACTAAGGCAGGCTTCACCCCATCCCAGTTTCTCCCAAGTCTTCCCTGGGCTGGGGTTGTCCAACACCACCTCTGTGCAATGTTGATTTTGAGGCAAAAGGAAAGGCGAGATTCCAAAGTCCTGGCACTGCCTCTGATCCTTCTAGCTATGAACCACCCCCAACTTAGTATACAGTGACCCGAGACCACCTAGCAGAAGTCAGCCAAGTCATGTGGAAAACAACACAATCAATCGTTCCCATAAGGTAAATTATAGGGGATATCAGGGAGAAAAAATGCTAAGCAAGAACGGGTGAAAAGCTTCACAGGGTCTATCCGTCAGGACACCTGTGGAAGGTGCACGGGGAAATGAGAAAACCTATTGGACTGGAACAGACTAAGGGTCAGTGAGGAGACTAGAAATGGAGACAAATGGTACAGACTTAGAAAATAGGCTGCAGTTGCGGGACCAGGAAGTGACCCTAGAGGAGCACTCACTTGAGTCCCCCAAGATGACCACGAACTTGTTGTGTAACAGCTGTTGGACTTCCGAGGCCCGGAAGTGGACCATGGTGCTTCGCAGCAGGCGGCGCGGCTCCTTGTTCTCGGGACAGAAGACCATGCCGCCGCTGACAACGACAGGCTGCAGGAAGAGGCCACTAAACCGCGCGAGAGTGGGTACTCAGAGAAGGTCGGCCCCAGGATAAATGAGACCTGTGCCAGCCCCTCTCGGCCTGGTCAGGGCTACAGGGACCAGGAGGTGATGATGGCAGTGTGGGGCCCATGGTGGCGCGGGTCTCAGTCACATCTGACGCCAGAGGAGGGGGGATCTCCGGGCACGCAGGTCACCCGGGCACCGAGGCGCTTCCCGCGCGGCGCCGCCCAGCGCCCCGCCACGTGCCCGCCACCGCCTCGCGCATGCGCGCCCGCTCGCGCCAATTACCAAAACCCGGGGCTCCTAGCAGTTCAACCACGGACCAGGCAAGCTCGCGCACTGCGCGCCTCGCCTGCAGTGAGCTCCGAGCCTGGCCTCATGTTCCCACGCCCAAGGAGGTCGGTCGGTGCTGCACAGTCCCCGCCCCGCAGAGCCCGTGCAATCTGGTTATATGTCGGTGAGCAGCCCGGCGCCCAGCGTTCTCCATGCGTGCGTCGCGGCAGCCCCGACCGCGCCTCCGGCCTCGGCGCCCGGGGCGACAACGCTCACAGCTCCCACTTCCGCTCACCCATATCCCACCCTGCGCTATCCTCGACGCCAGAGGGGACAGGAAGGACGCAAGGCCAGCTGCCGTGTCCGGGCAGGAGCCAGGGCCGGGGCTACCTAGGCGGGCACAGGGCCTGGGTGTGGGCGGGGGAGCGGCGTCGGCCGAGTGCAGCTGCCCACAGTGCTGATGGCTGTGGCGGGGGCCTCGCCACGTGATCCAGGCGGGCGGAAGCGGAAGTGCCGGCCTGGAGCCCGCGCTATGTGGGCGTCCCTTCAGCGCTAACCAGAAGCCCCCTGCACCAGTCATGGACTGCTACACGGCGAACTGGAACCCGCTCGGGGACTCTGCCTTTTACCGGTGAGCCGCCCCGCCCTCCCGCCTACGGCCTGGCTTACCCGGTTTGCCCGCCAGCTGGAGTCTCGGGGCGGAGCCGGCAGCGCGCGACCCCGTCACTCCGGGCGCTGTGGTCCGCCCCTCGCCAGCTTTCCCCCGGCGTCTGCTACTTAACGTACAGCAGCTGCGTGTGGCTAGGGAGCGGGCACTTCCTCTACCCCAGAGAAGGAAATTGAGGCAAGACTGGTGGTCACACCAGTAGGGGCCGAGCCCAACGCCGAAGCCTAGGTCTGTCGGCCTCCGGAAGGATGCTCAGATCACGTTGAATGAGGCCACCCACTGGTGACAGCCAGTGCCCAGTCTGCTGTCGGGAGGTGCTGCTGAAGTCAGACCACAGGGGCGCCCCGAGGGTGCGGGGAGGGATCGTCTGGCGGGCGGAGTAGCTGTGGGGACCAAAGCTGGGAGAAGGGGACGACTCGTCAGTGAATCCTGGGGGCAGCGCGAGTGAGCACCGCCAGCGCTAGGGGCAGCCCTCCCTCTCGTGGGAGTCGTAGAATCCTAAACTACAGATCTTTCTAAAGTGTAAACCGATTACATCCTTACCCTGGTGCAAATTACTCTTGTTAGATCTATAAGTCGGCTCCTGTTTATCTCTCCAACTTTATTTGCTTCTCTCATATCCAAATTTTGTGTTTGGTTGCCCAGAACAGGACCTCACTATACCATGCTGTTTCATGGCTCCCTGTGTTTGCACCAGCTTGCAGTTCCTTCTGTGGGCACTGCCATTTCCTTCTTTATTTATTTCTCTGGAGAATTCTTGCTCATCCTTCAGGACTTAGTTTAAGGGTCTTTTCTGATATCTTCTCTGATCTAACCTAACAGAGACAGCTGACTTTCCTTTGGCCCCAGTGCCAGGGCCTATTATGTATGGCACAGTATGGCAATGTTGGTTTCTTCTGCTAAACCAAGTTTCCTAAGGGCTGAGAGCATTTTTCTTGAATCTCTTTATCTCCAACGCATATTTAGAACAGTGCCTGCTATGTAGTAAGTAGTTGCCCAATAAAGTTTTTAAAAAACACTTTACTGATTGCTACTAAAGATCACAAAGACACTTCCTTAGGGTCGTCTTTCAATAGAAGACAGTAGTTTGTGCTAGTGAAACTGTATACCGTTGTTATTCATGTATTAAAGCTTATGTGTAGTTTTTTTATAAAGATTTTATTTATTTTTAGAGAGAGGGGAACGGAGGGAGAAAAAGAGGGAGAGAAGCATCAATGTGTGGTTGCCCTTCGTGTGCCCCTCACTGGGGACCTGGCCCACAACCCACACATGTGCCCTGACTGGGAATCTTAACCAGTGACCCTTTGGTTTGCAGGCTGGTGCTCAACCCACTGAGCCACACCAGCCAAGGCAAAAACTTCTGTGTAGTTTTTTATTCAAAAAATGCCAGCCTTTAAGAGGGACAAATGCCTTGTGGCAATTTTTATAGCTCTATTGCATTTGCTGTTTATTTCTAATTCTTATCTCTTATAAATATGTCTCTACAATATGGAAAAAGTTGCAGAAGTTTAGTTAAAATCAGTGAAGTCAGTAGAAAACAACAATGCTATTAACTGGGTTTTTTTTTGAGGAGAAGGGATGCCAGTTGTAATTTTAGTGTTTACAACACAGTATACACTTGAAAATACTAACTTGTGTTACTTTTGAAAATACATGTTGCCTACACAGACTTGTTGAACAGGAGAGTACCAAAAATGATGACCTTGTTACTACAGAACTCTTTACAATATGAATGAAGTGTTAGCTTTGTTGATAACACCAGTAAAGTAATAAATGAATGTAAGTGTTGAGGACATACCATAGACATAACTTGTGTGGCTAGCCTGTGTTTATCTGTGTGTGCTGTACTGCCGTAAAGGAGTAGAAGTCTAAGCCTTGCTGTGGAGTATGTATTATGTTTGCTAATAGATATTATGCCTTTCTATGTACTGTACACTTTGCTAAGTAAAACTTTATCTGTGGCAATTTAAGTCTCACAACCCCACAAAGTAGATATCATTATTAAACTCTTCTTACCGATGAGGAAACTGAGGCACAAAGAGGTCAGGTGAGCAGGTTACACAGTAAGTAGTGGAGTAAGGGTTTGAACCCAGCCTTATTCTAGAACGTGTGCTAACACATATGTTTGTTTAACAAGAAAATAAAATAGCGTGTTGTAGCTCCTCCACCAGAGTGGAAATGTTGTAAGTGCAGTTACTTGGGGTCGTTTGTATTTGTGCATAGCCTTGTGCCAGGACTTAATATATGTTCAGGTAAAGTAAATGAATGATAAACAGGTGGCAGACACTGCATTTTGAGTTGTATCTATAAGACAGGATTTTTTTCATTGGAGGTAGTGTTCTGGAAAATTTACTAATTTTGGAAGAGAAGGAGAGGGAATGGTGACTAATTCTTAGAGGACTTCAGAATTTTAGCCATTTTTATCCCCAAAACCCTATTTGGGGTAAATCCTGTTAATTAATTTTGCTCAGCCCTTTGCCAGGTCTAGTGTTTATCAACCAGTAAGAAGATATGGACCTTGTTTGCCCTCATAGAACTTATATCCAGCAGGGGAGACTCTTGATAAACACTAATGACTCAGCATTTGACCATAATCACTGTGAAGGACAGGTATAGGGTCCTAAGCCAGTGTATAACAGACTGGTAAGTTGGAGGTAAAGAACATAGGTGCAGGGAGTGGGGTGGAGAAGAGTATATACAAAGGTCCTGAGGCAGGAGAGACCGGGGCACTCTCAGTGACCTGAATACCTGAATAAAGAGAGCCAATGTGGCTGAAGTGCCACAGACAGGGACAGGGACAGGGGCAGACAAGAGATGAGGTTGATGCCTTTGTCTGAGGGGCCACAACCTGCAGGGCCTTATGCGTCACCTTTGTTTGAAAAACAGTGGGAAGCCTAAAGGAAAGGGTCTTAATGAAGGATTGATGTGATTGGATTTGTAGGTGTGTGTGTGGTTGTGTGTTTATTTTACGCCCCTTCTGGAGGTAATGGGGGAACAAGTAGGAAAGGGCAAGCAAGACAGGAGACAAAGGAGGCTGGAGGAATAGACCAGGGAGAAGCTGATGGTGACGAGAAATAGGGCGGTAAAGGTGGAGATGGAGAAAAGGGGGCCCGTCGGAGAGATATTTAGGAGGTAAAATTGAGGGAGATTGTGATGGGTTGTACCTGGTATGGAGGATGACTTGGGTTTTTTGCTTAAGATGATAAGAAAACAAGAATGAGTTTTGGGGGGAAGAGGGTAAGCTTGATGTTGAACAGATTGTCTCAGGTACTTTAGAAACATAATTTATAATCAAAGAAGGGAAACTGGAGATATACTGTACACTTGTGAGTACATGAGACACAGTTTATTCCTGTATGTATTATATATTTTTGCATATGAACAACTGTAAACCTACTTTTGTCAACCCCTATATGTTTCTCAAACTCTTCTTAAAGTAGATTATTTTAGTAGGCTTTTTGGAATTTGTTTGAGGGTTTTGGTGGTGTTGTTTTGTTTTTTTTACACATATAAACATTTTAAACGTTGTAGGTAAATACATACAATATAAAATTTACTATCTTGTTCATTCTGAAGTACAGTTCAGTAGTGTTCGGTATTTTCATATTGTTGTGCAACCACCATGCAGAACTTTTTCACTTTGCAAAACTGAAGCTATATATCCATTAAATAGTAATTCCTCGTTCCTGCCTCCCCTCCCTGAGCCCTAGCAACCACCATTATGCTGTTTTCTGTTTCTGTGAATTTGACTGCTCTAGTTAGGTCATATAAGTGCGATCATGCTATATTTGCTTTTTTGTGACTGGCTTATTTCACTTAGCATACTGTTGTCTTCAAGTTTCATCCATATTGTAGAATGTATCAGAATTACCTTCCTTGTTAAGGTTGAATAATACTCCATTGTATGTATATATCATATTTGTCTTCTCTATTCATCAGTAAATGGACACTTGAGTTACTTTTACCTCATGGCTGTTGTGAATAATGCTGCTATGAACAGTGGCATGCAAATACCTCTTCGAGACCCCGTTTTCATTGTATTGGATATATACCCAGAAATGGAATAGGAGATCCTATAGTAATTCTGCGTTTAATGTTTTGAGGAATCATCATACTGTTTTCCATGGTAGCCGAACCATTTCACACGTCTGGCAGCAGCATGTGGGAGGTCTTTAGTAGTAGTTGTTTTTGAGGCAGATTGGAGTCAAGGGATTTCAGGGGTGACGGTGGATTCTCTTTAGGGCCTGGATATTTTGTAATGAATAGCTTTCTCCCCAAGGCTAGATGTGATGTGCTTCTTCACCCCCAGTGGTCTGGTAGCCCAGCCTGAACAGGCTGGGGGTCATCTATTCTCACACAAGGACTCTTCTCACACCATAGTGGGCCGTGCTTTCCTAGCAGTTTAGCGGCACCACACAGGAATTTCTTTACTCTTTCCTGGAGGGGGCTGGAATTGAGCCCACCAGAGCTGGTGGTTTCCTGGCATTGGAACCCACGGTCCATTTACTGCCACTGAGAGGATTTCCACTTCTCGGACCTGTAAGTAGAGGAGAAAGATATAATGGCCTTCCTCGTTGAGGGTGTGGCCTGTCCTCAGGGAGTCTATTCCCCTAGTCTATTCTTAGAGGCCACACTACCTGCTGCCTATGCCACCCTCGACATGGCTTGACACAGCTTGAGTCACCTCACAGTCCCTGAAAAGCTGCCTTTACCTCGAAGCCTTG